CTGTCAGTGGGTTTTGAACTCACAACCTACCACTTGGGGGGTTGACAACTTATCCACTTCACTAAGTCGCCACACCCTCGCTGTGCAAGATCTAAATTATTATTTATTAATTGTTCTTTAGAAGCTTGACAAGTTCTATAATCTAATAATATAAAATTTTAATTAGTTGATTATTTAACTATTTTCAATTAATTAGTTGCCAACTACAGCAACTAATTAATTAATTTGATTTTAATTTGTATTACTACTACAGTCTTTGTTAGCATTATGACATTTTATTTCTGCAAAATTATTTTCTTATAGAAGATTAACTGTAACTACTTCAAGACTAGTAATAATCAAATAATCTTGATCTTGAATATTTGTTATTTGGCTACACTTTAATGATTTCATTTTTATGATAAATGATTTAATAAAAACATCAAAAGTTTCACCAAACTCTAATATAAAATAATTTTTTAGTAATTGTCTTAAAAATTCTGGCATGTTGCCAAATTGTAAATATATGCCTCCAAGTAAACAATAAACATTTTTATATATTCTAAAATTATCATAATAAAGATCTATACATATCTTTAATATTTGTAGATTCTAATTAGATAGTAAAAAAGTCTTTGTATATTCTGAAGAATGTTAATGTTCTAATAAAATACTTCTAATTCTCTAGTAACTATTTAATTTATAAAGAATTTTACTTATATTATAAATAGATTTATAGTTTTTATATAATGAAATAGTAACACTAGTATGGCCAATAACATCTTGCAATTTAATTAAGTTAATTTCTTTACTATTAAGTGAATTATTAATCAATTATATTTTACCTAATTGAGAATGAATTTGTTTATTATTACTTTGAAAATTTTTTAAAAGTTCATAGTATTCAATTATTTTTTGAACTTTTAATTTCAATGTTTCTTCTAATATAATAATGCTCAAATTTATACTAATTTTCTTATATTCTTTTGATAATAAATAAAATTGTTAGTATAATAAGTATTTAATTAAAAAAAAATTAGTATTAATTAAATAATTATATAATTATTAAAAAAAATTACATTTATTAATTGTAATTGATTCTTGGCCAAATAGTGGTAATTTAGCTTACAGATTTTCATACCAATATTCTGCCTTTTTATTAATTTCTTGACTGGGTTCAAAATACATATACTTCATTAAAGAAGAATTATTTAATATATGCTAAATAATATTATTAATATATAAAGAATAGGCTTTTTTAATATTTTTAGAATTTAAAGAAATTTTCTTAGCTGAAATATTAACAGGTTGTAAATAAATTAGCATTAAAGAAAGATTATATTTTTAGCATCTAAAATGGCTAATATTTTTTATTATATAATTAAAGTCAAAGTTAGAATTATGCATTATATTAACAAAATCATCATATGCAATAGTAGCTAAATTAGTACATAGTTTTATTAGTATTAAAATCAAGTATTAAAAATTAAATTTAATAAATCAAATTAGATCTTATAAACATTAAGTTATTATTTAATAAAATAATAATGCAGCTGTTATATTTTCAAAGTATGATAAAAATTTATTATTATTTTGTAATAAATTATTAAATTCAAAAGCCTTGTTTACATTTTACTAAAAAAATCTTTATTATTTAAACTTTTTCTTAACTATTTGAAGCATTTAAAAATGTTATTAACATGCATTCTGAATATGAGTTATTACTAATAAACTTTTCTGAAAAATTATCATCAATATTGATGCTATTATTTAATTCTTCTAAAAAATCAATATCAATATCTTCACAGTCACTTAATTCTTTAGAAGAATCTATAATATCGTTATAATTTTCAACTAATTTATTACTAATATTTTTGTTCTTTTATAAATAAGTTGGTATTAAAATCTTTTTGTTACAAAGAAGAAATATAGAAAAATTTTTGTTTACTAAAAGAAATAACATTTTTATAATTTTTTAATTCAAATTTATTTTGTAGCATAAAAGATTTCTTTATAAATAGAGTTTAGTAAAAGAAATAAATATAAAAAGTTTACAAGTATAATTTATTTAACTATTAATAAAGTATTTAAAATTTATGCAAGATTTATTGTTATTAATTACTAAAAATAAATAATATTTTAAAATTTAACAATAATTAATATTTTAAGTTCAAAATTTTGTAAACAAAAGTTTAATTTAATGTAATTAATAATTATTATATTTGATATATATAAAATTGTAATAAATCAATTATAGTAATAATATAAATTTTAAGTTTTGTAAATAAAGTTTAAATTAAAATATTTAAATTAAACTATAAAATACATCATAAAGTATTAAATTTTATAAAGTTTAAACAGTAATAAATATTATAAGCCCAAAGTTTATAAGCAATAAGTTTAAATTTTATATATTATTTATTTACTATTATTATAAGATTGTTTTAAAATTTAATTATAAGATATTCTATAGAGTGTAAACAAATTTTTTTTTTTTTTGGTATTAAGGTGACCTCTTTGGTCTGAGCTTTTTATTAATACTTATAGCAGGTACATGTTTT